CAAATATATACCCCTCATAAAAAATGATATACATCGAGAAGTTCCACGGAAATCTAGCAGATCGCATAATAATCGCGTTTGTACCCAGGAATTCTCGCGATTCGTTTACAGTTTTTTTTTAACCCCCAGGCGAATATTGTATTCGATTTTTTTTTTATTCTAAAAAAATGGGACTAATCTTTTAACATTTCTATTTTTCTAAAACGATTCGTAGGTAAATCGTCGAGCAATAAAAACCATAGAAATCGATGAACGTTAATCGGTAAGTTTTTTTTTCAACTCTAATGACAACCCGACTGGCTACAACCGCATAAGTTCATTCACCCGAGATAAATTGACTTTTGTCTGGTGGAAATCTTGAAGCTTAAAACGATGAAATAGCAAAATGTTTATCTCGGTTCTGCGCTTCGTTTACGTTTAGAGCAAGTGGACAGGAGAAAACAATAGCTGGGGGTATCTTCAAAGATTCCTGGTGTACGTCGTCGCGAAGGAACGTGGATTTCTGGTGTAATAGTACCCCAACCCCTGGGTTTGCTGTTTCATTGTATTTTCTGGCAGTCGGATTCACTGATGGCACTGGAGCTTTTATCTGCTCCAACCAACCAGCCAAGCTCATTCCACCCACCACCCCATCGCCTACCACTTCCTTTTAATCTTCTTGTTTTATTAAAGCACTCTTATTAAAAACAAAAAGGATATTTTGTTTGCTCATTTCAGAAATTTTTATCACTCCTTTTCATTTCCGGTCGTGGAGAGCAAACAACCGAATAAATATTTTTCACGTACTCTTTTTATGAAATTCTTTTATGGCGCACATTCTGTCCCTGGAAAAATTAAAAAAAAATGGAGATAATGCGAAACAATTCAGGAGATTATTCAGCGAGGGTTTTTTTAAAGGGGAAAATTTCAGAGAAGTTCTCTGGACACTTCTTGTTGATCGGAATTTATCGACTTGAGGGATGAAGACAGGCGAAAAAATTGCATAACAATTTGAGAGGTGAAGACGAATAGATTCTTTTGATTCTAGAGATAAACGCATTTCCAGGTTAATTAATGTTCTCATTAATTCTATCAGTTCAGATTAAACGTAAGGAAAAAAATATTCCGCTATGAGTGGAGTGTCCAGAA